AGGATCGATTAACAGGTGAAACTGTAGCTCTAGCGGGTTCCCCAAGAGCAGAGTAAAGATAATCTTGTAGAGTCACTTACTTTAACACTAGCAAAACCAGGTAGCTCTCACTAGCTTAGCAACATGTAAATATTTGTCAGAATTAAAATTCACTGCTATTACTTTTAAAGGCATCTACAAAAAAGCCAGGTAGAGAGGTTTGTATCTTTGTTGATGATCCTTACCTGTCAGCAACCAAACTCTGTCCCTTCTCTCTCTCTAGTCTGGAAAGGAGCCATTTGCCTCTTGCTTGCCCACTGACCCTCTGGGACTTTCCCACTCTATTACGATATTTTAACAGCGTCCCGAGGGCATCCTGTCTCTGCTATGGCGTCCTTTTTAGGGGCACTCTTTCCAACATGTTTAGTGTCTTCCTTTAGTATTACTTAGCTCCCTTGTTGCCCAAGTTCTGTGTGGTTGGACTCTAACTTTCTCCCACATGTTGTAAAGACTGTCTGGTTTCACAAGGCTGTCATGAGAAGAGAGGTAGGTGGCACACTGGAACATGCCTCATCGTGACCATAGCGCACTGACTTAGGAATCACATGTCCCTTACCCCAGCTATGTGAAAACTTACCAGCTTTCCTCAGGAAAAATTACCTCAAAGTCCTTCTCTTCTTTGGAGACAAATTGCTCATGTAGGTTCCTATAAAAGGAAAGGAACATCAAGTCAATTCCACAATCAACCTCACATGCATGACCTCATATGCCTTCTTTTTGGTCTGATCTAGGTCATATACTCTAAGTTAAAAGTCTAACTAATAATACACCTTTAATGCAGAAATATTGAGACACACAAAATAGGACTCTCCTATGATATTTTCTTGAGAGAGAAATCACTTATGTGAAAAGCCAAGAAAGCTGAGAACCAAAGGTCCACATGCTGCTCTCCAGGCCACAACCAGAACCCAAAGAGAGAGTCTCCTCCTCCTAGCCCCTTTTATCCTCCATGCGTTCTATGTACCTGTGAACACACTCAAACGGGTGTGGTCAGAGCTACAGGTATGTAGACCTCTTCCTATACATCTTTAAAAACACTATGTTTAATTCTATCAGAAAGTCAACAAAAGTACAATGTAATTTCAGGATGGATCCATATATTGGGAAAAATAATAACTGTAATTTTATTTTTTATAACTAAGCATGTTTAGAAAGTCCCTAACAGTAGCTCTTGGTAGAGCAGAGTTTTGAGGTCAGGTTTGAAACTTTACAAAGAATCAAAGAGGCTTCTTTTCCAGTTTTGGCATTGTTGGAACATCGCCACTAGGCAGAGTTGAGGCTTACACCCCAAACTCTCCATTAAACTGTGTAGAACTGGTGTCATGAGTTTAACATAAAGGCTTGCAGTTAGTTCACACATCTGTGATATATGGGTATGGTGGAGGCTTATCTAGAAATACTAGAATCAGTGTTTCAGATGTGGTGATTTTTATGGGTCTGTGCTCTAAGACAGCTGCAACAAGGACCAGCAAGAACATCACTGAGGTGGAAAAGCATCCCTGGGCATCCAGGTTCAGTCCCTGTGCGGTGCTGGTACTGAGAAATCATGCTAATCACGAGAAGACTTTGCTTCTCTCTGCATGGTTGTTTGAAAGTAGAATTAAAATCCTTAGGCTAATACCTAAGAGGCAGAGTTTAGAACAAGCAGTGATTTCCAAAAGGAAAACCTAAGCATCGTGCTAAGAAAGCAATCCATTGACTTCATAAAGGAGATACAGTGTCCTTGCTTTTTTTGTTTATTTGTTTGTTTTTGGAGACAGGATTTCTCTGTGGCTTTGGAGGTTGTCCTGGAACTAGTTCTTGTAGACTAGGCTGGTCTGGAACTCACAGAGATCCGCTTGCCTCTGCCTCCCGAGTGCTGGAATTAAAGGCATGAGCCACCACCACTGCCCAGCAGTGTCCTTATTATTGCAGTCTGACAAAGAAGTTTATACCAGAGACGTGTTTGAATGTGTTAAGATGATCATAACTTTCTCTGACGTTCCACAGGTAAGTAGGCAGGCATCGATCAATTTTTTATATTCAGATATTTGTGCAAAGGTCTTATCACTCCAAATTTTGTTTCTTGAAGCCCATGACGCATTTTCATTCCAGCCCTTGCTTTGCCTCCCCCTGCAACACAGCAGAGAGACGGAAAAGGAGCACATAGGGAACACTCAGAATAGCCCATATGTTGAGAGATTCACATATTTCCCATAAATAATATTCAATTTATTCAGGAGAATGCTTGCAACTGAGGTTTGACAGTAATGGCTGCAAGAGAGAAACAGTCTGAGGAAGTGAGTATGGAAGACACTTAAAAAAGAATAAAAATAGGAAGTTCTCTCCATGCATATGCAAGTTAAATGCAAATTTGGATTTTGAGCCTGCCAATGAATCTTTCTGGAGAAGTCTTTTGATTTTCATTCCTTGATCTATTTCCCATGGCTTTTTTTTTAATGCATTATATGCTATATGAAACTGTGCTTCTTTGGATTTATTCTTAATATTCAGCTTTGGAAAGTTTACCTTGTGCTTCTGTTAAGCACACTCCATATTCACCTAATGGAAGAAACTGGAAAGTTTAGTGTCAGGGCTTTCATACATCATAGTTTCATTGCAGAGATGAACTTGATTCTGTTCTCTTTAATTTGGAAGAAGCGTAGAAAGAAGGGGAATAAATTTGGTGACAATGGTGGAACGAGATTGAGGCACATGGAGACGGCATTTGAAGGTCGTTCTTCAGTGTTCATTCTCCTTCTTAGCAATGGAAATCCCAAGTTTTGGATTTTAACCCTATGAGAATAAAGTCTTCTGGTCTTGATTTGCAGCAATGCATGGTCACATGCCTACGCTCTGGCCAATGGACCAGAGATAAAAGTCTACAACTCCTCTATGCTTCCAAGAATGGACCAAGAAGTGAGTGGGCAAGTCTAGTCCCTTGGACTCTGGAGCTCTACACCGGTTCTAAGTAATCCACTTCAGGTTTTTCTCATCTATGTACTTATTATAAATCTGAACGTTGATGCTAACATTTTTTTTCTTTTAAAGTGTTATCATGCTTAAGTCTACAGAAGATCTTAACCTTTAGATTGGGCTACTACTATTCTAGTTGAAATAATGTTGATGTGGAAGCCAATAAATGATATTTGATAAACGACTAACAAGTGTTATACAAGTTTCTAAGAATGGAGAAGTAGGGAAGTGGTCACTTGATTTGAATTGTTGATTCCCCATTTCTGAACAGAAGTGAGCTTCTTTTCACGATGTATTTGTCCTTAATATCACTCCATATCAGATCGGAGCTCTCAGATTAACTAAGCTTTAGCATTTCTATGTCTTATAGAGAGATACAACATTGGTTTCATTTAAATTCACTCTGTGTAAAGTGTACTTTGGGCCGTGACTCATTTTTCGTGTTCTCTTTCTCAAATAGCCACACTTCTGGTAACCACTGCATGGAGCCTAGCTGTGGCTCGCTGGGAGTTGCCCGAGGCATTGGCTTTAGATTCCTTGTTCCCAGCTAGCTTTGGCTGACTGGCACCAAGGGAAATCTTTATTGCTGTAGCTTCAACTCTAATACTACCACCATTCCTTTGGATTGGATGCTCATAATTCGTTTTGAAGACATTTTATTTCTGCTTTATTGTTAATATCTTTTGGCTTTGGTTGCGTTGTCATTTATATTCTGAGTTTGACAAAGCTTCCTTCTCAGTATTCAGCTGCTGTGGAATGAATATTCCTATCAAAACTCATATTGAAATTTAATCTCTGTTGTGAGATAACAAATAGTAACACGATGGAAACTCAGACTGTGGTATTGGAGGGAGAATCTTTGAGAACTAAATTGGGCAGAGTAAAGGTGTAACAGGCCCTGGTTCAATGGGATGATGGATTTTTCTGTAAATAGCAGAGATCCAAGCTAGGACTCTCAGCCCATGTTGCTATTTTACTCCCAATGAGACCATAGGTCTTCTCAGAGTCTCTACAAGCAAGAAGGACCTCATCAGATGTGTTGAACAATCTGGAACTTCCCAGTCTTCACAAAGGTGAGAATAATAGCTCCCTTTCCTTATAACTCACTAGTTTGGAGTATTAAATCATGGTAACAGACAATAGAATAAGCTATCTGGTCATTGAAGAGATGGATGTAATAGCACCCTGAGGCTTGGAAGTATGGGGAAGGTTCACCATTTTACTACAAGTGGCTCTATTTCTCCCCTGAGAAAAGATTCAGTGTTTCAACAGATGAACGGATAAGGTGAAATGTTTTAGGAACTAAGACTATTGAATCTGTGTCTAAAAAATGTGTTCACCATTTGGAAGATAAAGTTGAGGAGGAAGTATCTAAGTAAGTAATAACAGTAAAAACAGGTGGTTTTTAAACCATCTTGGATAGGAGATGGCAAAACCTGGAGGCTGAGTCCAGTAGTGGTGGTACACATCTTTAATCCCAGCATTTGGGAGCTGGAAGAAGACAGAGTTTGATGCCAGCCTAGGCTAAAGACCTAATTCTAGGACAGCCAAGGCTATGAAAAGAAACCATATCTCAAAAAAAAAATTGGGGGGCTGGAGATATGACTCAGTGGTTAAGAGTACTGGCTACTCTTGTAGATGATGCCGGTTCAATTCCCAGTGCTCACACAACAGCTCACAGCCGTCTGTAACTCCAGTTCCAGGTGATCCAATGATCTCTTCTGGTCCTTCACAGGTACCAGGTACAAGGTAACCATGTGTTACATAGACATATGTGTGGGTAAAACACCCATACACATAAAATAAAGTTAACTTTGACTTTATTTAAAGTCAATAGAGAGAAAGAATGATTTAGAAGACTATTTGGAGGCCATAAATATAAGGACATAGAGATTAAATGCGTTATGAAAGCAGAGGTAAAGAATCTGGAAGGATCTCAGGTTAACATCTGCCTTTGTGCCTTTGAGTTTCTTTTTCTATAATAAAAAACTATGACGGAAAACATCTTGGGGAGGAGAGGATTTATTTTGCTTTCAGTTTCACATTATAGTATATTCTCAGAAGAAGTCAGGACAGGAACTCAAAGCAGGAACTTGGAGGCAGGAGCTGATGCAGAAGCCATGGAGGAGTGCTGCTTACTGACTTGCCTGCTCATGGCTTGCTCAGCCTGATTCCTTACAGTACCCCTGGCCATCAGCCTAGGGGTGGTACACCACAGGAAGCAAGGCCCTCCCACATCTGTCAAGAAAATGCCCTCATACACTTGTCCACAAGCTGAACTTTTCTCAGTTGAGGTTTCCTTTTTCCAAATGACTCTAGCTTGTGTCAAGTTGACATAAAACTGGCCAGTACAATGCTTTATGAAATCATTATGAGATGATCTATTCCTTGAAATAGCAAAAGGGGTAAGCTATAGCGTAATTTATGTCAAAGATAATAAATTCAGCTTGGGCTGCTCTTAGTTTGAGAGCTTTGAAATCAACAAGCACTTAAAAATCTAAAACAGGATGGAATCCACACCTGACACCATTAAAGCAGTGAAGAACCTGAGACTCGATGAGTTATGGACTTAGGGGAAAACCTACTATTTATTATTCTGCTAAATGAACACAGTAACAAAACGACTCCTAATGACATGTTGCTGTACCCATAGATCACTCAACCCTCATCAGGGCAAGTTATTCTTGCAATAGACAGGAGCCAACACAGAGACCCATAACTGGGCAATGTGCAGAGTGAGAGATTGGAGCACTCAGTCCCGAATGGGATGTCATTACTGAAGTCTTCCCCTCAAGGCTCAGGGATCTATAGGAAAGAGAAGGCAGAAAGACTGTAAGAGCCAGAGACAGTGGAGACAGTGTCTCCCGGACACACTGGACTGATACACATGTGACCCCATGGAGACTGTGGCAGCACACAGAGGAACTGTACAGGTTCAAGTCAGACACAGTCCCAGCACTCAGACGAGGAAGTAGACATGGAGTCCTACCCCTGCCTGTGCCCTGTAGACGGAAGTTCCTGTCCTGCCCAGTCCTGCAGCATGTATTTTTGTCTATAATTCTATAGAAGCCCACCAGAGTTCATCGATTAGAACCCTGAACCCACACTTGTCTGTAGAAGCAGGTGACTATCTGTTACTTGAAAATGGATGAAGTGTAGGTTGGGAATGCACAGTGGAGCGCTCCATTGTAGCTGGAAGTAATGACATACAGGAAAATGGACACATCTAAAAAAAAACTCATTGTTGAAGGCAAAAGAGAAGTTAAATGATGGCCTGTTGTTTATGTAAATGGGCTTCTCCAAGGCTTGTTTACCTCATCTATATTCTTTTCATGTTGCTTCTTCCAAGTCCAACTGGCGGCTCCTCTGACACTGCCTTTCTTCATTCCAGTGTCCTTAGTTTGGTTTTCCCACTTAACCTTATCCTGTCCAGCTACTGGTCAGTCAGCTTCTTGATTAAACCAATCACAGTGACATATATTTATACAGTATAAAGGACTATTCCACAGGTGGTTGTTGAGACCAGGATAATGAGCAAGAACTTGCATTCTACTATCCTTTCTTAGTGTGTGTGTGTGTGTGTGTGTGTGTGTGTGTGTAAACTTGGGTGACAAGATCACTAATTTCCAAGTAGCTTCTTCGTGTCTACTGCATTTTGGCTAGCCCTTTCCCTGTCCCCTCATTTCCCCATCCCTATCCCTCTACCGCCTGCTTAAGCCCTTCTCCCTAGCATTCTCCCATCACTCCTACTTCACACATGCCCTATTATTCCCCTGTCTCAAGTCACCTCCCGTGCTTCCAATGGTTCATTTCTAGTTTCCTAGGTTCCACATTTACTCTGTGTTAAAGAAATAAACGTTTTGAAGCTAGGGCCCTCATTAGAGAGAGAACATGTGAAATCTGTCTTTTCGTTCTGGGTGATCTCACTCTATAATTTTTTTCTAGCTCTGACTATTGACTTGCAAACTTCACGCATTCATTTTTCTTTACATCTGAGTAATATTTATATGTTATATATCCACACACATATGTACATGTATACACATGTATATAAATATCACATTTTGTTGGGGAAGTCCTGTGCATTTGTCAATAAAGTACTGTCTGGCCAATGGGGAATCTAGATAGGAGGAACTAGGAGTCCAGGAGGACTCTGGGTAGGAGAAACACAGAGAGTCGACATGTAACTGCCATGGGGTAGGAAACCCAGAACTATTCTCTGGTAAGAGACATACTTAGATTAACAATTATGGGGTAATTACTTAAAGCAGAGCTAGCCAGTAAGAGACAAGCAAGGCCAACAGCTTCATAATGAATATAGCCTCCTGTGTGCTTATTTGGGACTGATGCAGATCTGGTGGGAGGGAAGGCTCCTCTCAAGGAAAAAGCTTCTCTTAACAAAATGGTGTCAGAAGTGGGATCATGAATTTCCACACAAAATAACAAAAGCTTTAAAGGAATTTTAGAAACAGAAAAACAGAGAGAAGCACAGATTTTGGTAGCAACATTTTTCTCAGGTGTGCTCTGTTTTGCTAGCCACAAGCCAAGATTCACGTGGCTCGCTTACTGGAGTCTTCCTGACTCGGCATAAAAAGAAAAAAAAAAAACAGCCAGCAAGGTTCTTTTAAGAGACTCTGCTAACGATTTAAAGGTGTGTACGTACAGCTGGAAATGGCAGCATTTGCTGGATGTCAGCATGGACTGAGGCGGTAAGCTGGAATCACGCTTACGCCCGCCATCTTGAAAGCAGCAGTTTAAAACAGCTGCGGTTTTACAGATAAGACACATGGCCAGAAAAACGTAAAGCTTTACCGTAAAGTCAGACTTGGATGAACCAAACCTCTAAAGGTTCACAGTGTGTTTAAAAATATATGTAAGATTGAGAGAGAAAATAAAGAAGCTGGCTGTGGTGGCACACGCCGGTAGGAATTGCCCCAGAGGCAGAGGCAGGCAGGTTTCCAAAGAGAAACCCTGTCTCAGAGAAAAATAAATAAAAGTGAAAGAAATAAAGTAATAATAAATAAATAAGCCATGTAAAGATGGAAAATACACAGAAAGTCTGGATACTGTACGCTATTGTATTTTTCAGTTTTTTCATTGCTAAGGAAGGAACAGCTACTGAAGTACACTTGATTATAAATGCTGCTGAATTAATTCAAGTCCTGTGCATTTGTCAATAAAGTACTGTCTGGCCAATGGGGAATCTAGATAGGAGGAACTAGGAGTCCAGGAGGACTCTGGGTAGGAGAAACACGGAGAGTCGACATGTAACCGCCATGGGGTAGGAAACCTGGAACTATTCTCCGGTAAGAGACATACTTAGATTAACAATTATGGGGTAATTACTTAAAGCAGAGCTAGCCAGTAAGAGACAAGCAAGGCCAACAGCTTCATAATTAATACAGCGTCTTGTGTCGTTATTTGGGGACTACAATGTGGCAGAGCCCAGGCGACTGGCGGGTGATATACCAAAGCGGCTGGCAAGGAAAGCTTCCTTTTACAACATTTCATCACACACACATATATGTCAATATCTCATCCATTCATTAGTTGCTGGACATCTAAGTTGATTCCACCTCCTAGTTTTTGCTAGCAGAGCATCAGTGAATGTGTATATGTAAGTATTTTAAGACGTAAAGTTCCTAGGGTGTATTCCCAAGAGTGGTGTAGTTGGGCCATATGGTATTTCTGAGAAACCTCCTAATGATTTCTATGAAAGTGTTTTCCCCCTGCTTCACATCCGTGCCAGCATTTGTTGTCATTTGTATTCCTGGTGATGGTCATTCTGACTGAAGAGAAATGGAATGTTAATGTAGTTTTAATCCGTACCGCCTTGATTTAGGATTAGCATCTCACCTTTTAATCTTTTACTAGATTAGCTGGTTGCTGCTCATGAGAGATGTGGGTGCCTTGGCTGGATATGACTGGCATAGACAGGCCTCTAGAAAAAGGAAGCTTCATTATTTTTAAAGAATATCCAAATGCTAATTATCCCAGAAGGAAAGATGTCAAGTGGGAGACTCTATTTCAGTAAAACTCACTGGGCTCCAGGGGAAGCAGGAGAGGTGGGTGGGGAAGAGAGAGCAGGGTTTCCATTTATTTCCTGGCTCCTTGTGGTCCAGCAGTGCTCTGAAATCAGTCATGTGAAAGGCATTTATGATTCTGTTTTCACTCCTGCCTCGCAGCCTTGAGCCTTGGGAAGCCCTTGAATACTCACCGAGCACTGGGCCATGACCAGAGTGGTTTTCCAACAAGTCTGACTGTGTGGATGTGGGTGGCCGCTGGAACGTCAGAAGACAAGGTGACCACTGTCCTCCGTGTCCGCCACAAAGCACCGGCTTTGTTGTGCTCCGGCCTGGCATGGACAGCATGTCCATATTACTAAAAATAATAAACAATATCCGTGTGTTTGATGGTGAGAGGAAATGATGTTTGACAGGCAGTTAGCGTAATAATAAAAAGCTTTTTGTATTTTTCTTCAAATGTAAGGCTCTAATGTTTTCATGTATGGAAGGACCTGTTTATTTCAGCAGCTTTTCAGTTTAAACCTATTGCATCTGAAGACTCCGTGGCATCCCTGCAATGCTAAAAATCTCAGCTTTGTTTGGTCGGCAGAAGGAATTGTTTCTCCTGACATTTAAACCTATGGATTTATTTCTGTGGCTTGAGGGAGGTTTAGTATTTATTTCTTTCTTAATTGTCACTAAGAGACTAAACATTTAAACATGCCAAACATGTGTACCAGGAAGCATAACGAGGAAGCATTAGAAAAAATGCTTAATGCCGTAATGTATTTGGCAATCACACCAATTTGCATTGGGGAATATACAAATGAATGTAAACATCTGCAAAGAAATGAACAAGAGCACCAGATAAATAAACAAATGAATAAACAAAAAAGCAAATAAACTTCTGAAATAAGTTGTTTTCCCTCACATCCAATTATAAATCTTGCATGCAGTCTCCTTTGCAGGCAGTTCTCAGGAATGTGGATTTGCTTTCTAACTCTCCATCTGCTCACTGGAAGAATAAAGCTTTGAGAATTCTACCAAAATTAGGGGTACAACCTGAGCTCCCAACTCACCTACATTTCTAAATTATAGGAAATCTAAGATGTACAATGGAGAAAACTTTGGCAAGGAATATGATAACTCGTTTGGGGCAGGTTGGGCTTAAGAAGTCTACTGAATTTGTATAGATTTTGCTTAATGCTTAAGTGACTGACTGAATGGGACAGACGTATGGGGTGGAATTTCTGTTTGGATGTCAAGTGGTTCGATGAGCTACTCTGTGTTAGGTGGTTCTGCACATGTAGTGATTCCATTTATGGAGAGGGAAACCATGACACAGAATGGGCAAACAAATGGCATGTTATTCCAGACCTAAAAGCAGGAAACTAACCAGTCCTTGGGATGCTATGTGGTTGCCAAGGAATGGACTTGTTGGAATAAAAGAAAGGCCAGAGGGACTGGGCATATAGAAAGAACTGAGTGTTCCACAGTTTCTGAATCATGCTTTGCCCAACACCCACAGTAGAACAGTAGAAGTTCCTTTTTATTTTATTTTTTTGCTTTTGTTTTTCTGAGACAGGGGTTCTCTGTGTCGTCCTGGCTTTCCTGGAACTCTCAACTCTCTCTCTCTCTCTCTCTCTCTCTCTCTCTCTCTCTCTCTCTCTCCCTTTCCTTCTCCCACTCTCTCCCTCTCCCTCTCTCTTTCCCTCACTTTCTCTCTTTGTAGATCAGGCTGACCTTGAACTCACAGAGATCATTCTGCCTCTGAATCCCTAGTACTGGTGTGTGCCACCACCATCCGGCAGTAGAAGTTTCTTAAGTATGATGTCCCATGTCCCATAATGCTTTGATTCTCTCTAGTTTATTTGTGTTGGTTTCTTACTCACTTCTTGACACAGCTATGTCCTGCAGGTAAACTGATGTATTTCTCACAATAGTTTCTATCACTTGTTACAACTTATGCTGAAATAGTTCTCCTTCCATCTTTAAGGAAAGCAAAGAATTTCTGCAGAACAATCCACACATTTCTAAAGGAAATTGGAAGAGCTGATTACTTCCAAAATCAGTTTATCCATGGAGAGCTGTGTGAGGAATCCAGGGGTGGGAACCTACCAGGGTAACGTGCTCCATTCCTGTCAAAATGATGACTGATGTATGGGAACCGTTTCCTTTGGGTACCCCCTACTCACCCATCTAGGCACTCATACATTCATCCATTCATCCATTTGTCCACCCCCCCAACAACACATTTATTATGGTCCTAGTATTTGCCAGGCACTGTTTATAAATCCAATGACCCCTAAAAATGCATAATATTCCAAGGTCACAAGAAGTCTCTTGTATCAAAGTCACCAGAAGTCTCTCGTTTTGAGGTCAGGTGCAAGTCTGGCTCCCCAAGTCATTGAACCATGCTCTGGATCTTTCTTTTCTCTGCCTATTTATCTACTTGCTTTTTCCATCATAAGAGAGAGCTGTGAGAGTTCTCTCTCTCACGTGGGACCTGAAACTTCTGATTTCAAGAGCTGTTACTAGCTGGAAACACAAACAAATGCTTGACAATACCAAGAGTCAAGGTGAATGGATTCTTGAATGACATTCATGGAGGCTCCAATGGAATGCAGGCTGTCTGGAGTGTGTAAAAGTCATGATAGGGTAACCCCATTCTTCAGGGTTCCTTTGAGGTATTGTTACCAGGAAGGTAGAAAGCAAGAGAAATAAATACGGGGTCCCAAGCATAATTCACCATGTTGCTGCTTCCTACTTAGGAAACTCATCAAAACCCTTTTTTTTTTTTTCCTGGTAGTGATCTGGAGACATGTTGAAAGTAGCCTCCTTTTGGGGATGGGTGGGAATTAAGCCAAAAGAGAAAAGCAAACACTGAGAAAATCTGAAGGATAACTTACATATTATTCAGACTATAAATAGACTTGAATAGTTGCTTAATTAGCCTCAGTTGTTTCAAAAAAGAGCAATGGCACCGGATTGCTTCTCTTCAAGGCTTCAGCTTTACAGTTGAGCGCGTGTGTTCTGTTAGAGTATTGCTGCACTCACCCTCTGTAGTCACCCAGACCTCCCAGCACCACGCCTACATTCCATCTGACTCCATTTACAGTACTAATGGATAAAGTGTCTGAGTCCTGGACCCAGCAGGCTTTCTCATGTTCCCTAAGAAAACACTGCAAACTTCCTCATAGTCTTCCACGGGGCATATGGAACACACATTTCAACTTTCACCAATGTGTTGTAGCCTTTATATAAAATGTTAGCAAGAGCAAGGAAAATCATTTCAAAAATCAACTTCATTTGTGCTGGTTAGATTTATATTAATTTGACTTAAACTAGAGACATTTGAGAACAAACAAACAAAAAAAAGGTCCCCTCCAGAATGTGCTGTGGACAAGCCTGTGTGGTACTTCCTTAACTGATGTTTGGTTGGGAGGGCCTAACCTACTGTGGACAATGCTACTTTGGGATGGGGGCCCTGGGTGCTATAAGCATGCTGAGTAAGCCGTGAAGATCAAGCCAGGAAGCAGTATTCACTGTGATGTGGAATTGTAAGCTGAAATATACACTTTTCTCCCTGAGCTGCTTTTGGTCATGGTGGCTTTGTTATTGTTGTGTTTTCCTTTGGTTTTTTGAGACAGGCTTTTTCAGTGGAACAGCTCTAGTTGTTATGGACTCACTTTGTAGACCAGACTGGCCTGGGACTCAGAAATCGAGATCTTTTTGCCTCTACAGCTAGAGTGGGAGGTGTGTGCTGCCACGCCTGACTGGCTTGGTGGTTTTTATAACAGCAATTGAAATCCTAAAACACCACCCAACTGTAAAACTGATGACATAGGACTTAAGGATATCACAATGACGACCTCCTGAGCCAGGGTATAGCTGTTCTTGTCATAATTTAGAAACTATTGGTGGCCAAGTTGTCATTTAGAGCTACAGTGAATGCCAATCATGAATTTATCTTAATCTCTTGTTTTAAAAAGTGTTTTCTTTACTTATTCCTAAGACTTTTATATGGATACATGCCTCATTTGTGAAGCTATGTACCCCTTAACGAGTGAGGTCACCTCTGCTCTCTCCATCTGTGACACAGGCTGGATGATCGGGTTGAGGGTCTTGTTTTTCCCTTTGGTGGAAATCCCTCAAGTTCTGAATGTGGACGAAAAGCTTGAGAGACGGTGCCCTCCCCATCCCCTCCCAAGATTCTGCACTAGGGTACTCCACCACAAATAGGGCGGAGCCAGTCATCCAGATTGTGTCTGCGATTCTCAGCATCTTAGCCCAGATTCTTTTTGTTTTCCACCTTGAATTTCCCATTATCAGCTGTACCAGAATAGGCAATCACAATAAAATATATGTGCATTTCCTAAATAGGGAATCAATGGAATGATACTGATTTTTTTTTCTTGTGGTTTTCCAAGACAGGGTTTCTCTGTGTAACAGCTCTGTATACTAGGCTGACCTTGAACTCACAGAGATTCACCTGCTTCTGCCTCTCCGGGGCTGGGATTAAAGGAGTGAGCTGCCACCACCACCAGGTGACACTGGTTATTAAAACGAGCTAAGAGACAACAGTGTGGCTCTCTTCCGTGCAAACAGTTCACTCTCAAAGAGCTCAGATCCCAGCTTTAGACACCATCACCCTTGAGTTTCCTTGCATAGTGTTTAATGTCTGTCCTTGACGTTCATAAATTAACATGCCATGTGATTTCCTCCTTGTGATAGCCTCTGGCTGTTTTCACTGCCTGCAAAGCTACTGGCAGGCAGCTGGTCTCCCACATTCCCTCAGAGTAAACAGGAATTTGGTCCCTGGGTAAATGGCTGCTTTCCAGTGTAAGAATTTGAGTTATTACTGAGCTCTCTGTGCTGGCTTCTGCTTAAGTCAGACTGTTTTCATAAAGACATGCACAAACAAAAGAATTATGGAGGGTTTGAATCTTGAGGACTACCCTTTCAAGTGTGTGATAACCTCTGATTCTTCTCCCCAAATATTTTCTAAACTGTCTCCCGACCTCTTCCACCACCTCACGTTTCCTGGTGGTTTCTGGAAATTTACCACGGAGGCTTGAAATCATGTGTCCTTTCCAGAGAGCAGCTGCCCCAGACAGATGTTCACAAGCTATTATTTCCAGATCGAATATGCTGACAAAGCTTTTAACATGAAATTTTTAGCTGGGTACTGTTGGCGCACACCTTTTAATCCCAGTACTCTAAAAGCAGAGGCAGGTAGATCCAGAGTTCGAGGCCAGCCTGGTCTACAGAGCAAGTTCCAGGACAGCCAGAGCTATACAGAGAAACCCTGTCTTGAAAAAAAAATAGCAACAACAACAAAAAAACCAAAAAGCAAAAAAATTAAATATTCATTGAGACCATAAGGGTAACTGCCTAGGTTACAGAAGATTCAGAAATAAACATTAAGAAAAGAATGATGGGGAGGGGAAGGGGGAAAAGAAAACAAAGGAGGAGAAAACTCATTTTCAAGGGTAAGTGTCTGTGCTTTGAGTTTTGAGGTGGATTATACTGATATGCTTATCAGAGGAAAAAATAAAAAGTTAAAAAAATTTTTAAAGGCAAAGGAGTTACCTATGCATTATGTTAGGATATGAGTAAAAGAATTAATTCTTTTACTTCCAGAAACTGAGCAACTAGAGGATACATATTCTTTGTCATGTCACCTAAGAGCGTGTGAGTACTGCCTTTCTAGTGAACTGCATTGACCTCAAGGCTCCAGGATATTATCATTCTAAACTCTAGGCAGCAGTCTTTGACGTTGTTCAAGACTCAATTGCTTCAATTAACCAGACATTGTATGTGAATGGTCAAAAGACAAATATTAGGTATATTACACTGTCTGATTTGTATAAATATTTCTTATTTAATGAAAAGTTTTGTGGAAAAATATTGATTTTTAAAAATATGACTATAATCAAATTGATTCCTTACAATTTCATTCCTTGTCAGTATGTGGTACTATCCACCTTTCTTGATCATGAATTTACCTTTATATCAGTATTTGTCAATCATGTAGAATCTTCTGGATAGATATGTGGAAATCTGCAAAGTGAAGGAGGGGATTGGGGATGACATGGGGTCTCTGAGCCAAGGCTGATCTTAAACTCAAGATCTAAGGCTTTCTCTCCCTTAGATGTCTGAAGAGCAATGTGAGCTCTTTTTAGCATGCCATGCAGCCTGTAAGCCCAGTATAGTTCATAGATCAAACACTGGCACTCCAGTCACTAAGAGTTGCTCTGGAACTGAATGATATATTAATTTTGCCTTTAAAAAGTGCTCAGTTTCATGGAGAATTTTAACACACAAGTATACATGGGGGTGGGAGGAGTACATTCAAGAGTCCTGTAGGCTGCCATGGGAACCAGGATAAGAAAGGAATCCATCTTGAAAGAGAGTTGGTTCAGGTGAGTGTTAGAGAGCATGTCTGAATGGTGTACTGGAGAAGGCAGGATTTGTGGGAAGATGAATTAGTGTTGGAATGTGGTCCACTGGGGTAGTGGTAGTGGGGAGTAGCCAGAGAAAGATGTGGAAGTGGAGAAAACCCACTCTGTGTGAGTGACACACACTGGACTTTCTTCTGTTATAGCTAAGCCTTTGAAGAGAAGGACACAGATTCAGGTACCTCTTGGGAACTTACTCATGAGATCCCAAACATTCCATAAATGCTAATGAACCAGCAGAAACCCAAGAATAGGTTCATATACAATTTATGCATTTGGGCAACATTGTATTACCAGGCAGCTGTTCTCTAGAAATTGAGAAACTTCTTAGTAACTGAAAGTCTCTCCCTCAGGATATGTGAAGAGCAAGATAAAACTAGTCATGCTTCTTGGGTTCTTAGTAAAACTGGCTTGTGCAAGATCAGACATTTCAATAGTCAACCCCTTTTCCATCACTGCATCTGCAGCAGCATTAGAACAAGTTTTGGAAACTTTATGTTTTGTGTGTATGTATGTATATGTGTCAGTGCAGATATCATGACATACATGTGGAGGTCAGAGGGCATCTTGTGGGAGTTGGTTTTCTTTTTCCACTATGTGGGTGCTAGCGATAGAACTCTGGCTGTCAGCCTTGGCAGCAAATGCCTTTATCCACCCAGAGACTTAAACTGTGGGTCATGAGCAAACATGCGGAGGCCATGAAAAGTCTGGCAACAGCAAAAGGTTTCTGAATGTACAACAACTGAAAATTAACTCAAAATGAAATGCATCCATAACGAGTCTTTCTCTGTCCTGCCAGACAGCTCCCAAATAATGACACGGAGACTTATTATTAATTACGAATGCTCAGCCTTAGCTTAGGCTTGCCCCACTAACACTTAAAACTTAAATTAACCTGCTTATATCAATCTGTGTTTCACTATATGGCTTTTTATCTTTTTTTTTTTATTCTGCATGTCTGACTCCCCACATTTCCATGGCATCTTCTTATACCACAATTATTTCCTCCTACTTCCTCTCTCTGTGCAGAAGTCCTGCTGCCTAGTTAATGACCATTCAGCTTGTTGTTGTTGTTTTTGTTTTTTGAGACAGGGCTTCTTTGTAGCTTTTGGAGCCTGTCCTGGCACTGTAGACCCAAGCTGGCTTCAAACTCACAGAGATCCGACTGCTTCTGCCTCACAAATGCTGGGATTAAAGGTGTGCGCCACCATTGCCCGGTTGACCATTCAGCTTTTTATTACACAAATCACAGCAATACATTTTCACACAGTGTACAAATAACCCCACAACATGCTTCATGAATCCCATGTGTTTCTGAGAGCGCTTACTCCTGTTGTATCTCACAATGTCACAGCAGCCTTGGTTCTAAACACAGGATAGTCTCTCTCTACCTTGCGCCGCCTCTATGCAATGCATTATTGACCAATGGGGCTTGAGACACTTTGACTCAGGGTGTAGACTGTTTTGTGGTAATGGATTATAGCATTGTCACCATGCACACAATGTTTTCTGCTTCTGTAGAAATATGATGATTTAATTATTGAAAGCAAAGACTTTTAATATTTCTCTACCATCATTCCACAGCATGTAATAAGTTAGTACATTTTAGAAGTGCATTGTCAGGATATTTGATTTTTAAAGCTTTCTTTGTGAGATACTGACTAGAGTCATGTAATCATTAAATGGATCTTGCCTTTGGATTAGGATAGAATTTCCAACATTTTCTAAAATGGCCATAGATGCACTTCTGTACTTAGTACTGTTTTACTATACAATGGTTCTCAGCATTGATGCTTATAAAATTAAAACATCTACAACTCTGGAAAATGTTGAAGATGTTCTATATTCCACTCCATCAAATATTCAGCCAAAATTGGATTATTATTCTTTTTTGGAGACAAGGTCTCTCTGCATAGCTCTGGCTGTAATGGAACTCACTGTGTAGACTACTAGGCTATCCTGGAACTTAGAGATCCTCTTGCCTCTGCCTCCTGAGTGCTGGGATTAAAGTCAGGCACAACCACACCTAGCAAGATTGGATTCTTTGTGCAATATCTAGAAAGCACATTATCTCATTAGTTTGCAGATTCATTTTCATCTTTAATAAGTAGTAGAACTACTTGTATACCAAAGAACTGTTTTAAGATAAATTTCTTATCATTGAATGCTTGATTTGCATACCTGTTTTCTATACCTACATACCTGGGGCTGTGCAAAAATTTCTCAGGCACAAAGGGATCACAAGTAGGAAAGGTTTGAGAAATTCTATAGTAAAAATTTGGGGTGTGGGCTTTAGGATGGCATTGCTGCTGTTCACTCTTTGGTAAGCCACTTGGCTTCTTTGGATGTCTGCTATTTTCTCTATAAAAGGTATGTGTAGGGGGATTACTGCTACTGATGTCTTGGAGATACGCCTGAGGACTAAGTGCAATTAGGTGAGCAATACAACAAATTTGGAAAACAAAATGTAGAGGGATATGGTTTTCTTACCACAAGCAGAAGTCTGACTGGTCAGAAAAACATCCACAAAGGCAGCTACCACTGCCCTAACTTTCACAAACAATCACAGTTAGTGAAATTCTGACAGAGAGACTTTTATAGGGAAGGAAACCAAGACTTGGCAGGACAAGTGACTCACAAATGAAGCTCTGAGCCTTGGCTTTACAGTACTCACTTCTTACTAAGAGTGCAGGCAGCTGGCAAGAGATCATCACCACAGAGGTCAGACATGACCGACACTCCTAGTGTTTCTTCTCACTATCAGAACTAGAAACCCAGAGAAGGAAGTAGAGAATGTGGTCTCTGCTTTTACTTCAAATAAGAGTAAGTGCTATTATTGTTGGCTACAAATTTTGTTGTCAAAACATGACTCAAGGTAGAATTTAGCTTAGAAAGTCCATCTTTTGGTGATGAGAAGACAATATAATCTTTTAAATTATGCTCTTTATAATTTTGTTCTTTAATAATGATGGTGCCAAAAAAAGAGAGAGACAGGGAGGGAGAAAGGGAGGGAGGGAGGAGAGAGGGAGGGAGAGAGAGAGAGAGAGAGAGAGAGAGAGAGACCTGAAATGCTTGGTCCTAGCTTCCTGCTCTAAGTTCTAGCTTTCTTTGAAGATAAATAAAGAGCAGGCAGCTTGTCGGTCACCTTCAGGACCATGCGACTGAAGAAGCTGAGACACACAGGGCTGCGTTCCACATGTTCTGAGCTCTCTAAGGGGTTTCTCTGGATCTTTAAAAGTGGTCGAATTCTTTTGTTTGTTTTCGAGACAGGGTTTCTCTGTGCAACAGCCCTGGATGTCCTGGAACTTGCTCTGTAGACCAGACTGGCCTTGAACTCACAGAGACTGGCCTACCTCTGCCTCCCAAGTGCTGGGATTAAAGGCATGTGTCACCACTGCCTGACTAAAAGTGGTCTAATTTTTACAGGTAAATTATTAATATATACATGTATATGCTTCTTGCACATATATATATGTGAATGACTTGGTTTAATAATTGGCTAATAATTATTGATTTAACTGATGGAATCATGGCTTTGTTTAATTATTCACTGGGTTAGTTGCATCCTAGCATCTGCTTTCTGTTGACATGAACCTTGTTGCTTCATCCAGATGTGATTTCAGTAGCTTCCCATCTTTCTGTAAGCAGGTAGCAAGCACCTTAGGAGTGTGGTGAGGGGTGGGGGCAGATGCTGGCCTCCACCGAGCAGGGCTTCTCTTGCTAGGCAGGCAGTAGATGGCAGAGCTGAGCTTGTCTGTTGCGGTTGCCTTTCTTCTCACCTGTTTTTTGGTGGAGATAAAGTTCTAAACCACTGCTTCAGACAGCTCTGTTTTCCTAAGTTGAAAGTGTTCCACGGGCCTGATTTATTCTCCTCACACCTCTTCCACTGTGTAGTAAACAATGCTTTTCCTTTTCTTGCAAAGGTCGCAGTGATCGTTCTCAAAGGGACACCAGCCTCATTTTAATATGTTTTCTGGTCTATTTTCTTTTTTCTGTTTTCATTAAAAGTTTCTAGTATCCTCATCCTCCCACGGACACAAATCCAGCAGCACTGGATTCAGATTTTCAGAAAACTCATTTGTCTTCAGACTATCATTAAAAAAAAAAAGAGTTCTGCCTATTTATGGAGAAAGAATTAAAGAATGACCGTGGAGGAAGCAAATACTACTTTTTAAATTTTATCTTTATTTTATTTTACACTTATAAATGTTTTGTCAGTATGTATGTCTGGGAACCATTTGCTTGCCTGGCACTCAGGAGGCTAGAATCGGCTAGAATCGGGTGTCATATCTGCCCCCCCCCCACTGAATGGTTGTGAGCCATCATGTGGGTGCTGAGAATCAAACCTGGGTCCTCTGCAAGAACAGCCAGTGCTCTTAACTGCTGAACCTTCGCTCTGGCCCCTAAATATGGGTTTTGAGATAGCTTTTTAAGGAACAGACACTTGAAGCCTAGGAGAGGCCCTTGGGATGAAACTCAGACGTGGGTTGGAGAAAAATAAATGGGAAATGTTGAGCAAGTTTCTGACACCGGCTTTCAAAATGAAGAGTTTCAGCCAAAGAACACCGTGTAGAAGGAAGTAAAGGAAGAGAAGGGGAGGAAGGAAAAGAAGCCCTCGTATGGAAGGTATTTGAAGGGGAAGAGAAGGCATGAACGGATGCGTGAACAGGGGAAGCATTTAGGCACACAAAACCAGTAAAGTCCCAATCCTTCCCCATCTTCCTTCTCCCCTTCCTTTTATGTAGAAGTCAGAAGCCAACTTTGAGGAGTCATCCAACACGGGGCCCAGGGATGGAACTCCGTGGGTCCGTGTGGCAAGCACTTTTCCCTGCTGAGGCCTGTCCAGGCCCAGACCTCCCTGTGTGACACAGACCATCACTCCCTCATTCCAGCCCTATCGCTGGGAGGAAGCAGCTGTCCGAAAGGCTGTAAAGAATCCTGACAGGCCCTTTGGGCTTTCCCCTTTATTTAACACATTATATCCTCCTCCTCCTTTGCCCACTGGCATTCCTCCACAGCTGTCCATTTTTCATGGGATCTAAGTTTTAAAAATGGACTCACTGGGTCTGTGGATCTTTACTTCCGAAAGCTCCTTTGTCACTTGCAAGTTGGAATTGGTTAAATTTGTTTTGCTTTTCTCTTGTTCATTTGTCTTCTGTCTAGGAGTATTGGTCTAGTGTGAGGCATGAGACCTTTCTGTCTCTAAAGGAGGGAAAGGTTCGAGGACGCTGTTTTAAAAACTGTGTCTTAGTACCAATCTCTCCTGTTAATTGCTTAGCCAGCCGTTGGCAAAGGAATAGCAGCCGTTTTCCTAAACCTAAATTTAACAGACACCTGATAACTCTGGCCTTGCTGATAGAGACTAAAGTAAACAGAATCGCTCAGGGCACCCTGGGAATCTGTGTGGGAACCAAGACACAAAGAATGTGACTTGTCTGCAAAGGAATTTGTTCCTGACTGAGAAGTTAATCTATGTTCTGTCACATTCAACCCTTTTGGGGGGGGGGAGGTTTCAGCATAATTTGCAAACCCTACACATGATAAAAAGGAATGTAAGTTACACCTTGACCTGTTTGTTGCTGTTGTTTTTTTGTTTGTTTTCTACGGAGAGAAGAGTCTGTGAGCAGCATTTTCTGGAAGCTCCAAATTGAAGACCAGACCTGTTTGCACCCCAGGGATTGTTAACCTGTACGAAACCATGCAATCGCCTGGAGAGCTGTTAGAAGACACTGAGGTTGGGGCTGGCGACCCTGACAGCCCCCCCACCCCCACCCAGCGCACCGGACCTAGACCCCGAGCCTCCACCCCCCCAACCCCTGACTCTTTAACCAGTCCTGCAAACACCAGGGCAGTGAAGTTCTAAAAGTTCCACAGGGAATTCTAACTTGGGAAGTGCTGGTGCCTGGGATGGAGGATTCAAGTTTAGGAATGGCACAGAATCCCATGGCCAGAGAGTCTGGGAAACAGAACCTTCATTCAGTGGCTGATCGAAGAAGAGGCCCACTCCCATGGCTAAACACTGAGCTGAACTCAAGAAAGCCAGTAACAGAGAGGGAGGACTGATGACCAAAGGGATTAAGACTGGGCTGGTTTAACCCCCAGAAACAGCTGACCTGACAAGGGTTAACTCTTGAATCCCAGGCTGATGCCTGGGAATCCAGCATGGGACTGATCAAGACCCCCTGAATGTGGTTGTCAGTGAGGAGGCCTAGGGAATCTATTGAGCCTTGGGCAGTAGATCAGTACTCATCCCAAGTATACAGATGGACTTTAGACTCCCGTCCAACATTGTGAGATGCACTCTCACCCTGACCTCTTGGGGGAGGGTCTAGGCCCTGCCCTGTATGAAATGACAGACTATGGACACCCCCATGGAGGGCCTCACCCTCCCTGGAGAAATGAGGGGATATTGGGGGGGTTGGAGGGAGGGCACGGGAGGAGGGGAGGGAAACGGAGAGGGACCTGGAACTGACTTGTGAAGCAACCTTGTTTCTAATCTAAATTTAAACTTAAAAAAAAAAAACTAACTAGCACACCCAGAATTATGAATCTTTTTCAAGAAAAAGTGAACAGATTTTTGTTTAACTCATACGGAATTGATGGTTCATAAAGAATTAAATGGAGGATCATAAAGAATTAACTCTTGGAAAAATTCAAGTGAAGATCACCATTAAGAAATGAGTACTTTGCACTGAGGATTCTTCATTGCTTGACTTGGACCAAAGTCTTCCTTAGGGAGTAGTAATTTGGTGAATATGCCAGAGACAATTATGAAAGAATTTGAAATCAGGAGGAATAATGGGGGTGCCCTTACAGTCAAATGCCATACCTTTCCTAGTGTACCCGTGGAGTTACTTAACTCGATGGGAGTCCATGCCTTTGACAGTTGTATAACTGCAAATCAAAGAAAGTGATAATAATAAGACAAACGATTTTGTCCAGTGAACACACAGATAATTTCCAGGCATGCTGTAAAAGTGCCCTCTTCTGTTTGTGCAATAGATGATGACTCCCCCAAACCACCTTCACACTGGACATCTCACTGGAAGGATCAGCAAACCTCTCCCAAGGGCTTGCGCAGGCAGCCTTTTTCTGGAGTGGTGAAGCCTGGCACACACCTGAATTTTGGGAGACTGGGTGGCTCACCTGAGCATTGGAGATCAGAGTGTTCCGTTAGAAGCCAGGTACACAGGCACACAGTGCTTTCTTGACATTAGCTACTTGTTCTCCATGCCCCAGAGATCAAACACCCACTGTGTGGTCCAGTACATCAGATAGATAAACACAGTCTTAGCAGAGGTCATCTCCTGAGTGTTATGCTTGTAGCGTGCAGAGGTTGAATAACCCAGAGATTATTGCTGAGTTAACCCTTTATATACACATATCTGTTTGTATTCTCCACCAACTGGCTATCACTATTATTAATTATGTCTTTCTGGGTCCCTTGTCAATGGACTAAATAACATTTTTGACACATTTATGTTTCATGAGTCATGAGTTTACATTTTTTTTAAAGGGAGAAGAATATTTTAATGTACAATTCCCATGACATCATTTGGTGAGTTTACGTTTTTAAGAGAACAGTTAAATTTAACAAACATTGGAGCATACAAGTCATGAATGCTTTTCCTTTTATTTGTATACCACTCCTTCCCCTTCTCCCCAGCTCTTCTTAAACGTGCATATGTTTGCCAATGAGAACACATAGAAACACTGCGGTTTAGTGTGAGACAGGGTTTCTCTGTATTGTCTTGGAGGCTGTCCTGGAATTCGCTTTGTAGACCAGGCTGGCCTCGAACTCACAGAGATCCCACCTGCCTCTG